AAAAAGGTCCTCGGAAGGTGTGTATGTCCTCGGAAGTAGGTATATATCTGTATTTTTGTCCTCGCAACATATAGCAATCCAAACACACACCCACACCCACACACACACACACTTACCTTGCTGTATGCTCTGGTGTGGAAAATTTCAACACTGCTGTATTTGCTTTAACACTAATGACACGCCCACCACAGTTGTTGGAGAGTCTAAGCAGTCTATTTCGTATATGATTGGTATCAACACCAGTGGGTATATTATCAACTAACAGTTCAGTGCATTCACCATGATTCTAAATTCAAAAATAAATATTACAATGATTCTGAAGTGTATCTTAATAAAATATAAATAAAATCTATTTCATACAATCAATACATATATTTCACACAATCTATACTAACTAATTCATTGATTGGTTTTGTTTGCTTATTTTTTTTTACTGAACATTATTTTACGATGGTAGCTTGGTAAGCAACAACAAAAAAGCTTATTTGCCCCAGGGGCCTCAATTAGTATAAAAACGTTGAAAACATATGCAACGTCATTAGAAGGAAAATTGGCCGATTTGCTTTTGACACAAGTGTGGTTGTATTATTATAGAGACATTACAAAGAATACATATAGAACAGAAAAAATGCAAAATTATAGCAACAGCTGGTCACTACTGACCTGAACACAATCATATGAACAGAAATGAACATAACAATTAATGGTCACATGACCATAATTCTAGTTGGTACATGACAAATTTCATGACTTTTTTCATAATGCAATCTTCTCCCCATTTGTAAAACTGCTGAACAAGTTGATATTTGGCTGTGAAAAACATTGTAGCATGAGCCACCGTGGATAACTACTTTAAATTTGCAAGAATTTTGTGAATTTCGAAAATTCCTGGCAGAAAAAATTAAGTGGTTACTTCATCTATTGAGTCACACACACAATAATAGCTTCTGTAAAATCTGTATTAGAAGCCGCGTCCCTAATAGAAGTCACACCCATTCTTTTTGAATAATTAATAAAGAACCAGAAATTTATCATTTCTCGAATGTGTAGAAGCTCTAATAGAAGCCACATCCCTTCTGTTTCATTGTACCATTTTAATAGAAGCTGTGGTTTCTAATACAGATTTTACAGTAGTATTAATATTTATAATAACTGTGAAGAAGTTACCTTAACTGGAGCTCGAAACGGTACATCACTTAATAAATCAGTGTAACATAGTGTTTCATGGGCACATGCTAACAATGCATCAGCAACTTCAGGTCGATGTACGAGTATTATTTTTAAGTTATGTCGATGCCGAAGGTCTGATAGATCATTAGCAAAATTGACATCGCCTGTGAATACAGAATAAATAAGACGTCATATATGATTGCAGTTACTGAGTAGTATGCATAAAAAAATAACAATAAAGGTTACCCACTTGAAATCAGGGTAGGGCCAAAATTCTGTGAGTTCTCTGGTTTAAGAAATATATAAAGTTTGAACACCAACAGTCAGAGAATGTTAGAAACCAACAATCATTAAAACAAAATGGCCACCAGTCAGCCATTTTAAATCAGATCTGAAAACTAAATGATGTGTAGCAAGACCTCATAATTTTCGATGTATGTTTGAACAAACTCTACCCATACACAGCCATGTTCCCAGTTCCAGAATTGCAAATTTGGCAATCTCAAATCAGATCATGAAACAAATGGACACACATATGGCGCCCAAGATATGAGTTGTATTTGTGAAGTTTGAATGTGATCAAACCAGACATGTCAAAGATACAGGTGGAATTGCACGGAGGTTAAAACACAAGTCCCCTGTTTTTGGACTGCGTCTGAATGGGACTAACAAATTTTTTATTTACACTTTCCTAAACTCTATCATCATGCAGACATTTTGCAATTTTTCCCGAAGAATCCTCTAGACCACTCCCAATTTTCAAATGGGGAACCCTTAAATAAATAGTCCATCTACACGTAATTTTGGAGGTGATATGAAATTTGATTCAGAAATTGTTATATGAAAAGGAATATGCACAACCTATCAAACCAATCACACAATGGTCAGAAGTTGAATTCATGTAGCTCCTTGTATTCTTTAGTGTTTTACATACATACATGCGATGATTCATACAAATAGCATGACTTACCAGAAATAAGTACAACAGTAGCTGGTGAATTGTGAGTGTCAGCAAATCTTCTTAAGCTTTGACGGAGTTTATCATCCGCTGCATTCTTGGCAGTTGCGTTTATATGTGCCACAGTGACCTGTATACATAAATAACATTATTAGACATCAAAATGTGCCTACAGTATGATATACAGTCAAACATGTGTTTGTGACCAGCTCTATATGTAAGAGCAACCAGTGTATAAAGACCACCTGTCTATAGTGACAACCTTTCAGCAAAATTTGTGCAGATTCCCTTGTGTTTAAAAGACCAAAAAAATAATTACAATTCTGTTTATCAAACAACAAGTGAAACTTGCTGTAAAATGACTAATTTTCACTGGGTTTAAATTTCACTGATTTTGCATTTCAGGCATATTCAGTGGGTTTGAAATTCACGGTTTTATCATTTAGATAATGTGTTCTATGCTAAATTTTACATATTCACTGGGTTTTAATTTAGCGCATTTCCCAGTCAGCGAAAATAACAAAATTAAAACCCAGTGAATAATTAACCCCTTTACAGTATTTGATTTTGATTAACATGATTATAATTTTTTAGATTAGCCCCTAGAAATAATGAAAGTAAATTCCAAGAAAAACTAAATAAATGTAATCGTAAACAAAGATTTCATGATTATTTTTAATTCATTTTTACCTGGGCATCATTGAGTTCCTGGACGACAGTTTTACTTTCTTTGTTGACATCACAAACACACATAAACTCTGCCTCTCTATGTCCAGAAAAGAACTTCTCTCTGACACGCTGTACAACTGTGAGAGCCGATTTATTTGCCGATACTGGACAGTTTTCAATATCCCAGAAGACACCAATAGCTGGTAAAGATTCCGATGAACCAGTACAGGTAGAACTACAATCGGATTTATCTGTCAATATCAATGAGTCATTAAATTTTCATAATCACAATATTTTCCATTTTCCTATCATGACATTCTAATTATTATTCTAACAGACAATAGAACACTGACGCATGCATTATTCAAAGGTGACTGTAGTCTATGGTGACAGAGGACAATGATGATAGTAGTCTATATAGTGACAGTAGCTAATGGCAACAGAAGTCAATAGCAACAGTAGTCAATGATGATCTATAGAAGGAGAAGTGACAATAATAAATAGCAACAGAAATCAGTGATATCCTTCAGGAATGTTTGTATGTTGCTAATTTGAAGACACTTACGACATGTGACTTGTAAAGCTGCAGTTTCACATTGTTCCTTGGTAGGTGGCGTTTTCCTATCATCACAGCTTGGTAAACACTGTGTCGCAGCCATCCACTGCGAATCCAAAGTAACTGTCTTCACTTGACTTGAACCTGTAGCATGTGCAGGACTGCCATTTGCATTTGGTTGTTGTGTTTGTTTTCTGAGTAGCGCTAGTAGAGCCTTAGAGTCAGCATCTGTAGAGGGCAGCGGTTGAGACACTGAAGATGTTTGTACTGTAACAATGTTGGGCTGAAGGACTGAAAGTAACTGACTACTAATATCCCCACTGACTGCATACTGCACACTGGGTTCAATACTAGTTGGTTGTTGTTGTGGACAGCCGTAAAACATAGGAGCTTGATGTAAAGGTGCCCATACACTGCAAGGTAGCATGGTAGGGTCAGGACATGCATATATCAGAGGACTACCTGGACCATATGGACCATGTGTTGAAATAGGAACTGGTATCTGCATGATTGGTCGAGGATTGTCAATTCTGTATACTGATGGCGAATGTTCAACATATTCATTATTTACAGTGTCTTTACTGGGGTTTTCAACATCACAACTACTCTCCTTTGCAGTATCTGAACTCTTACATGTCTTTCTACATTCTGACTGACTCACTTGGTTTCCAGTTGGTTTGCACCCTGTTTCTCTTGGGCTATGGTATCCACTTCTACCTGGGCTACTGTACCCAGTTCCTCCAGAACTATGATACCCAGTTCTCGCTGGACTATGGTACCCAGTTCCTCCTGGACTATGATACCCACTTCTTCCTGAACTGTGGTATGCACTTTTTGCGGGACTTTGGTATCCACTCTTTGGTTTATATCTGTGTTGGCTGTTGCCTTCTTTGTTTACATTACATGGGAGGGAATCGGATTGCTGCTGCTTTTGTTTCGGACTTGGACTTGATTTCCTAGGGTTTGAAGAAAAGTTTGCAAAGCGTGGGGGCCAATTCCAATAATGTGGAGAATCTTGTCGAAAATGACAACTCTGACGGGGACTGCGGCTTGGTCTTCTTTCTCTTGAACGGTGTTGAAGGTGATGAGAACTATCGGATTCTGTTTTTGTTCTGCCATGGGGCTCTCCTGCCGCCAATTGTGGATATGGATTCTCACCACTGTCATCACTGCTCACACTCACTGAAGATTTAAACAAAATAACATACACATTATACATATTACAATATAAAGAACAATACAAAAGTGTGCTTCAATTTTAATAGCAAGTTTTTATCAGCAAAAATATGAAATTAAAACCAAGTGAAAAATTAATACATTCATAGTAATTGCATTCACAATAGTTATTTAATATTAAAACTAGCAGCCTGTTGGCTGAGATAGCTCTGCTGTTATCAATGCACATTTCAATTAAAGAACTGAAGATATCATTAGAAAATGAACAATATGTATAGTATTAAAGCAATCGGACTTGTTGTTTTCAACACCAATTCAAAAATATTACTTTTTATCAAAAATATTCATCAAAATTAGAGAATTGAAGATGTCATCACAAAATCAACAAATCTGACAGAGGTCCACCTGATGTACCTACATATACAATATCAAAGCAATCAGACTAGCAGTTTTCAAGGAGAAGTCAAAAATATAATTTTTTACCAAAAATGACAAAAATATACATCAAAATTAGAGAAATGAAGATATCATCACGAAATGAAAAAATCCAAGAGAAGTCCACCCAAGGTACCTACATACCAAGTATCAAAGCATTTGAGTTTGTGGTTTTCAAGAAGAAGTCAAAAATAGCATTTTTGACCAAAAATGACAAAAATAAGACAAGCAGCCTGTCGGCTGCGATAGCTCCGCTG